TAGCATATTGTGATGTATTCGTTCTGATTTTGGATAGATTCGACGCGCGTGGAGGCCGATTCGAGGAGCAAAGGCGTCGTGAGCTAGAGATATCACCGGTTCGAGGTGAGTAATGATTGTAAATGATATCCTGAGGGTTTGAAACCCTGGATTTGCGCATCGTAGTGCTATATTAAGGTGACTTACACGCCGGAAAGCGAGCGTGGGGTAGAGCACCATTGGGGATTGTGACTTGGTCTGTCCCGATTGATGAATTTACCGTGTATTTGACTAAAATTTACTTGTTATCATCATGATTTGGGCTGATTGCCATATTTGGGCTCCGTGCCAATTACTTGAACCCTTCGGGGAGTTTTTATCACTATTTCCTCATTGTCTTACTTATACTTGAACTCAGTCCTGTTGATATTTTCTGTTTTACAAACTCAGCCACCTATATTCAGATTTGAAACTTAAATGATATTTCTAAATGATGTTTTGGGCTGAGAACTACTATTTTACTAAACCCCGAGGGGCTTGTGATGATTTTCGGACTGAGTGAGGCCGAGGGCCATATGTGAGGATATGTTGAGTGATATGAGGCCGAGGGCCTGAGATACATTTATATGCCACGAGGTGTCTTCAGTGATGTGAGGCCGAGTGCCGAGTGATATGAGGCCGAGTGCCGAGAGATGATGCCACGAGGTGGCTTGATATTGCGCTTGGGCCGTAAGGGGCCCCTCTCGGAGTCTGCACACCCCCAGTGAGCTCCGTCGACGAGATATATGGATCGGGCTGCACGCCGCAACGATATGTGGATCGGGCTGCACGCCGCAGCGGTTACTATATGATACTATGCTGAGAGTGTTCTGAGAGTGAGCCCAAGGGGCTGGTACTGCTCTGAGATATTGCCCGAGGGGTGAACCTTTATGTATTCATCTTTCATATTTACTTGTCATTTACCTATTATACTGTGATAATTGTGCCCGAGGGGCGGATTTTCTGTGCTTATCGGCACTACTATTTTGCAATCATTGCGTAACTGTTGAAAAAGTCATTTTCAAAGAGGTTTAAACTGAACTAAGGTATTTTCTAAAGATTTCACAGCTTCACTGTTTTTCTCAAAGGGTTTTACACTGCTTCTATACAGCATGATGGTTTGCTTTACGTGATTTCTTACTGCTCAGTTGTTATTTACCTTTATTACTCACTGAGTTGGAGTACTCACTTTACTCCCTGCACCTTGTATGCAGATGCAGGTATTTTTTTACACCCGGTAGCGGGTTTTTGCCTGATTGGAGGCAGGGTTATCGGAGTTTAGCGAGGTGGCTATCAGCGTTCGCAACACCTCTTTTCTCCCAATTCATTCATCGGTCCCGTTTTGTATATTTCAGACCTTGTAGTTGCATTTATACTCTAATAGATGCTCATGACTAGTGACACCCCGATGTCGGGCTGTGTTTGGATTGTACTTCCGCATTGTTGTGATATTATCTGTTGTTTAGCATTATTAAATCATGTTTTAGCATGTTTTATTGTTGTTTAGTTGTTTAACTTCGAATTGGATATGTGTCGACTGGCCTTGTCTTCACGAGAGGCGCCATCACGACCGGGTCTGGGTTTAGGGTCGTGACAAGTTGGTATCAGAGCCTAGGTTACATAGGTCTCACGAGTCATGAGCAGGTTTAGTAGAGTCTCGCGGATCGGTATGGAGACGTTTGTATTTATCCTCGAGGGGCTGCAGAACCTTTTGGAAAACTTCACATTCTTGAATTCTCATCGTGCGTCATTGATTCAGCTTGAAAAGTAACTCTTGCAATTCCTTCCACACGTTCGCATGCGCGCATGAGCGCTCAGTATCAGATGTGCATCAATGGCTTGTGATTCCCTGATTGAGGGGCGAGATGTGATCTCTGTGAGTTTATGTTGGGCCATTCTGGAGGACTTAAGGCCGGATTTTTGCCTATAGCTTGAGCGCCGAGGTGCTGATTGTGTGAGCAAGTGTTTTTGAACTTATATGTTCGATAGTGTCCCTATCAGTGGAAGTGATGGCTGGATGATTGTGTGATGAGCATGTTAAAACTGCGAGATGTATCCATATGATTTGGAAGCGACGAGAAGGGTCCGCTTGAGGATAGAAGAACTATTAGATGCTTGAAGTTCATCTTAATTCGAGGTATAGCCCGAGTTATGGGCGTGTGAAGAATCTTTCCATGTCCCTAGTTGGAGAGTGAAGTAAATTTCATGTTGCGGTATGAGTCCATACTCAGGAAGATCAAGTGACTGCGTAATGCTTGTGGCGGTGGAAGGTATTAAGAGATGTTAGTTGGAGTCGAAGCGGGTGGGCTATCTCCTGCGGAGTATTTTAAGGTTGTGTGATCCTTATGTTGTCTATTAGGAGATCTCATTTACAAGTGAAGAATATGTATTGGAAATCTAAATTGGGTCGCCTAGAGAGTGGGCTTAACTGTTGTGTGAGCGAATGCGAGATTTGCAGAAGAGTTAAAATTCTAGATGATTTGTGTTTCCACAAGCTTGTGAAGGATTGAGTTTAATCTCACTATGTTACAAATCGAGGAGTAAAGCGATAGTTGAGGCTTGATTGCGTTCGTGGCATTGAGGTAATTGTTTGGCCTAACCTTAGCTTGAGGAAATAGGTCTTGTGTCTTATTTGCTATGTGTTGATGTCGAGTACGACGTATAGGTGAGGTGACGAGTATCTATACGTTGGTGTCAAGCATGCTCGTGAGTCTTATATTCGGATTTTTTGTGATTTTACAATATATTGATCATGCTTAACTTGATGGTTAGCAACCGTGGTACAAGAATTATGATTATCTTCGTGGTACTTGTTTATCATTGAGCATTGGCTCCAGTTGAGGTTTCATTTGTGAAGTTAATTGTTGGTACAAGTTTGGTTATAGTTGATTCCCTTGCCGGGACGTAATTAATTCTTACTGTTGGTTCCCTTGCCGGGATGTGTTTATTCTTGTTGTTGATTTCCTTGCTGGGATATTGTTCTTTCCTTATTGTTTCTTTACCGGGATTCTTTTGTGATTGGTGTTGATTTGTATACTTGGATCGGGTTGCATGCCGCAACAAATTTTATATGGGATAGGGTTGCACGCTGCAATAATATTATATGGGATCGGGCTCCACGCCGCAACAAGGAGTAATAAGGGAGGATAGGAGAGATCGAGGTTGCACGTCGCAACAGTGATATATGATTTGGATTGGGTTGCACGCCGCAACAGTGATATATGATTTGGATCGGGCTGCACCCCGTAACAGTGATATAAGATTTGGATCGGGTTGCACGCCGCAACAGTAATATATGATTTGGATCGGGTTGCACGCTGCAACAGTGATATGTGATTTGGATCGAGTTACACGCCGCAACAGTAATATATAATTTGGATCGGGTTGCGCGCCGCGACAAAAAAGAATAAAAAGTGGACCTTGATTCGTTACTATTTCTTTATTCTGGTTGATGTGGAATTTAAGATGTTCTTTATGCTTTTCCTCCTAAGATTTTGTTGGTACTTGATATTCCTCACAGCATGTTTCCCTTCCCATCTTTAATTGCTGGTTTCTGCTATTATTACTTGCCGTATATGCTTTAACTGCACAGTTTTATTTGGTAGTCCTGTCCTAGCCTCGTCACTACTTCGCCAAGGTTAGGCTCGACACTTACCAGCACATGGGGTCGGTTGTGGTGATACTACACTCTGCACTGTGTGCAGATCCCGGTGCTGGAGCTTTTAGACCATAGTGAGGTTGCTTCCTTCAGTCCAGCAGCGGAGACCTGAGGTAATCCTGCAGACGTCTGCAGGACTTGGCGTCCCCTTCTATCTTTCCATTCAGTTCTTATGGATTTCAGAGACAGATTTGTATTTATCTTTCAGACCTCTGTTTGTAGTATCCGTAGATAGTCCGTGATATTGTGACACCAGTTCTGGGTAGAGATGTATTTGGTATTTTTCATACTAGCATTTGGCTAAGTTATCAGATTTCATCTTCTGCATTTCTTTTATTATTATTATTATTATTCCTCTGTTGATCGTATGTTGATTTAAGATTGCTAAAAGGTTAAGAAAAAGTGGGTTAAGATCTATAATACTCGGCTTGCCTAGCTTTCACGAGTAGGCGCCATCACGACTCCCGAGGGTGGAAAGTCCGGGTTGTGACACTACCCATGTTTAGTCTACAAAATATATATACATTTATTTAAAGTAGAATCCTTTCTCCATTGTCCCTCCTTTTTTAGACGCGGGAAATTGGGATCACAGAGGATTCTTCGAACTTACGCAATCTTCGCAATTTAATTAAGCCTGTTATTACGCCGATTTACTCTCATCAATGTTGCACAATCAAGTTTAATACTCTGATTTTCTCTATCTCCTCTGGTTTCAAAATTAGAAAGGAAAATCGGCGGAAAAAAATTGCAAACGATTATCTTCAATCGTATTGAATTTCGTGATATAATGACAAATTAGCTGTTATGCTTCAGCTAAATGGTCATTGGGATAGCTTTGGGAGGTACAGCGATTTTAATGTTGATGGAATTGTAGTCAGCAAGGATTCAAATTACAATCAATTGAATTCTGCAATTGCAGAGCATCTAATGATCAATACCTCTGAGAAAATCATCGAAATCAAATACATTGTCAATGAACGTTGTCCTCCAATGGAAATTAGGAACGATATGGGAGTTCGAGTATACATGGAGACCAAAAATGAAAACAAAAGCTTAGGAATGTATCCGTAGTGTATAATAGTGCGTGATTTCGGTTTGGAAGGCAGTATCTCTAATACGAGCACAATTGCAGGTTTGCTATGTATTTTCAGTGGTGATGTTTTGTCAGTTTATTATTTTCTACGATTATTCTACACAATATCTACAATGATACAACTAACAAATGTAGTTCAACTGTTATAACTTTTGAAGTATTGAATTTCAATTGTTGCACAATTTTACTACAAATTAGCTACAATATATTTATGAATTGTATATACTTTAAATGAGTGCAAGTTCATCTGGAACAGTGTTGTTGATCGATAGGCCAACATCTCCGTTGATTGTGGAATATGAAAGTAACATCATAACAGAACATACACCAAATGTTATTGAAGTAGGCCAAGTCTACAAAGACAAGCAAACAATTGTCAATGCAATGAAGCACTATTATGTAATGAATAAGTTCCAATTTAGGGTGAAGAGGTCTAGCGCAAGAAGGTAGGAACAGTTCAATTGTCAAATTCATATTTGTGTTTATTTTGTAGTTGTTTGGTATTCTTTTATTTATAGGTAGTACTTTCTTTGTATATAATTGTTAATAAATTTATAGTTTTTTTTGTAAATAAATTGTTTAATATAAGATTTTTGTGCTTACACAGCCTATTATTTTGTAGCTAAATTTTTAAAACAATTTTAACTTGTTTTTTTTCCTGTAGCTACTGCCTGGTTTGTGTTGGGGACAACTGTACATGGCAGTTCAATTCAACCAACATAAACGAATCAGAATTGTTCAAGGTTCAAAAATTCAACAGCTTGAACACATGCTCTTTGATGGACAATACACACATACAACGCAAAGCAACTGCCATGGTAGTTGGCAGCATGGTGATGCCAAAATATACGGATCCTAAGACAATATACACACCAAAAGACATACAAATTGACATGTTGTCGGATCATGGTGTGAACTTAACGTACATGCCAGCTTGGAGAGCAAAGGAAAAGGCTTTGGAATTTTTGAGAGGTCACCCTGCTGATTCCTATAGTCGCTTGCCAAGTTATTTGTATATTCTGGAGAAGACTTATCCGAGGACGGTAGTTAATTTGAAGAATACTGAAGATGATTGTTTCTTGTACGCATTTGTTGTGCTTGGTACGTCCATCAAGGGTTGGGAGTATTGTAGGCCAGTTGTGGTAGTTGATGGCACCTTCTTGAAGTCGACATACAGGGGAATGATGTTAACAGCCAGCACAATGGATGCAACAAGTATTGTAGATTCATTGTAGAAATATTATTGTAAAGTTGTTTCATTGTGTACTTTTTATACTATCAAATTTTATTACAGCAATTGATTTTCTTTTTGCCACCTGTGTGGTAGGTAGCATATTACCATTGGCATACGCTGTTGTTGATTCAGAAAATGACGCAGCATGGAATTGGTTTTTTAAGCAATTCAAAGATGCGTATGGTGAAAAACCAAATATGTGTGTTGTTTCGGACCGGAATGAGAGTATCTTGAAGGCAACATCTACTGTTTATACCGGAATGCCACATTATGCTTGCATGTGGCATATTTGGACAAATGTAAGGTCAGAGTTTAAGAAGAGTCATCTAAAGTTAAGCGAATTGTACTTTGCCACGGCACGATCATACACAATTGATGAATTTAATGAAAGAATGTCAAAGATTGAAGAGATCTACGTGCGTGTTAAAGCATACCTATACGATATTGGCTATCACAGATGGTCTCGGGTACATGCTACGGTGAACAGAACATGGACGATGACGTCAAATATTGCAGAGTCATTGAATGCGGTAACAAAAGATGCAAGAGAGCTGCCCATAATAGACCTATTAGAGTACATGAGGACTCTTCTTGAAAGTTGGAATAATGAAAAGTTATTGAAAGCAAAGGGTACATTCACATACCTTGGGAAAAAATACAACAAAGAGTTGGAGGACAACAGGACATTATCGTAGAAGATGAGAGTAAGCTATATCCAGTAACATCAGATCAACAACTCCATCAAACTAAATATATAATGCTAATTGTAGATAACTTGCTGTAAAATTGTAGTTATTTTGTACATATTGCTGACAATTAGTTGTTTTCTTTTAATGAATTTGTAGGTGAGGGCTTCAACAGATCGCATCCATACAGTGCTAGACGGTGTGAAGCGCTTTATTATTTGCCTTCAAAACAAGAGATGTAGTTGTGGGCAGTTCCAGCTTGACGAACTTCATTGTCCACTGCTTTGGCGGCCTTGAGGTACAGGGATGAGTCTTATGAAAACTATTGTTCTCCTTATTACACGAGGGGGAGTCTTTTGAAGACTTATGAAACACCAGTAGACCCGCTGCCTAACGAAAGCAAATGGAATATGCCATAACATGTAGCCGAAGAAGTTGTAAAGCCACCAACTGGGAAAAGACAGGCAGGGAGACCTCAAAAAGAAAGATACAAACCATTTGATGAAGTAAAATCAAAGAAGTACAAGGTTTCATGTGGAAACTGTGGACTAGAAGGGCATAACAAAAGATCTTGTAAGAATGCACCTAAAAGGAAATAAAAATTGATAAAGTAACTACAATTTTTTGATAGATTGTATTGAGGGTGTTCTGGAGAGTTAGAGTTGAGTTGTAATTCTGTTCATAAATTGAATATAGACTATCTCCTATAATGAAATGTTTTCAACTCTTAATGCAATTGGTTTGTAGTTTTTTTTTTGTTGAACTACATTTCTTGAGCCAACATCCTTAGGGTGGATTCATCACAGCAACAGTAAGAGAATGGAAACAACATTCCCAGTTTCACAAAACTCAACTGTAAAATCGGCAAGTGTTGCAGCACTCTTAGACAGACTAATCAGATGTGGAACATCTGCATATACGCACCCTAGGGACATCAATATCTCCCCAGCCCACTGACTTAATACATAATGAAACATCATAAATGTAGTAAAATTGTTAGGAAATTAAATGCTAAAAATAATGAAACGAAGGGTAACAACACAAAACAAAAGTAGTAGAATAAAGTACTGACAATTTTGAACCAAAAAAGGCTCTCCATAGTGTTTTCGATTTAAAGTAGTAGTTTCCTGGACAAAATAACAAAACAAAAGGTAAAACAATTTTAGCACAAATCTGCTACAAATATGTTTCAACTGACTTGTTGTACGTTAACAACTTGTCTACAACTTTACTACAAAACCACTACACGTACATATTTTAACTACAAATTTTCTACAGAATAGGGAAACTAATTCTTCTTCTTCTTCTTCCCGACTTGTGTTCTCTCATTCGCAGCCGGTGCACCTTTTCTTCTTGCTAATCTACCAGTCACCTCACTCTCGCTAATTGCACCAATCTCTTGCTTTTTCCTAGCATAATCCCAAAGTAGAGCTCCATAGCGTCTACGATGTAGATCAATATCAGAAAGGTCTTTCTTTGAAATCGATAGCTCTCTAATGCTGACATATTCAGCAAATGACGCAACGTATACACCAAAGTCGCTGCAAAAAGAAATTAGGGGAAAAGATTTAGCATTCTGTGGTTGAATAAAATCTATTAAATAAATAGAAGAAAAAATACCTTTTTCATACAGGGATCCCTCTTTTTGCTGGGGCATCTCACCGACCAACCACTGAATGTCAAGAGGGTCAGTAACACCTTTTTCAATGTATGCCTTTGTGTTCTTGTAGTTGATGTATGGACGCTTGCCATAGAAGCCGGTGCAGGACAAGTATAGGGGGATCATAGTTGCAAATTTGTTGACAACAGATTCAACAAGGATGTGATTGTGTGAAGAGACCATATAATCATAAACATATAGAACCCTTTCGGTAATGTCAAACGCAACCAACAACCAATAAAATTTTTCCACAATGTTTATGGGCATAATCACAAAATCAACTTGATCCCATGCAACATTTACAAGTAGCCTGTATCCCAATTTGTATTCTGATATGACGTCCTGGGGTTTGACAACAGCAAGCTTCTTATCGTCAGGAGTATTAATGTATCTTTGATAAATTTGTTCAATTCTAGTCTTGAAAATACAGTAAGTGGTTGTAAACCGGGTTTTGTTCACAGGACCATACTTTTCTCTCTTCCTCAAATGGTATAAAATAACATCAATGTGTTGCAAAAAAATAGAGTTCATTATTTCTTAATGCTTCAAACAAATTAACTACACTTTTTAAACAAAAAAACTACAATATTCTCGAATAATAGAACACTACAGCTAATCATTACATTCTGCCAGGGTATGTGTTTATCGTGTCGATGAGGACTTGTTCGGGATGTGCTAAAGTGTAAAACCACTCCTTCTTATCAACTTTCTCCACTCCAAGATCATACCATGGCTTAAGCTGGTTATCTTTTACAGAATAAGGCGCTTTCCTCCTATTTAAACACATAGCAATTACAATAAATATGTAGATTCAACTCGAAATCAAAAAATTGTATGAACTCGACAATATCAAAACTTGTATAATCTAACCTCTTTGACACCATGTCGGTGCCAGAGTATAACCACTTATTGAATTCTTCCAACAAGTCACGATCAACATCGTCGCCAATAACCAGTAAATGGATGCTTGATGAGGAAAATTGGAAGTCCTCCTGAAGTGCTCCCCCCAGAACTGTAAAAAGGGAGAAAGGGGGATCTGGCATGTTCTTCCTTGTAAAGCAGGGGTTGTGTTATCTTGGATAGGCTCGCCAAACTTAACAATCTAGGAGAAGTTTTCTGGCAACTCAAAATCATCAAGTGTTACTTCCTTTTTTTCAGATCTGCAGTCATCTGAATCACCTACATTAATGTAGTTGGTTGGTTCACCTTCAAAATTTAAAACAAAAGAATAAGAAGACATGTTACATCAGTTCTTTATGGAAAATTGAAACAAATTGTCAAAACCTTTTTTCCATACAACTGTAATGTAACATATAATACCACTAAAATGTTCACAGCAATCGTCTCCTGGTTGTATAACGTTTTCTTGTTGAATGGGAGATTGAATTTTTGTTGTCTCCTTATCTAAATGCTCTCCTGGAATGCCAATATTAACTTCCTGTTTTGGAGAATCTACATGCATAATTTCCTTCTCTGTTACAATAAATATGCGCAACTTAATTAATTTGTAGATAATTTGTCGGAAACATTAACAAAAATATAAATGAATTGTAGTGAAAGTATAGTAAATTTACAGAAATGTTGTCCTGCATTTGATATGAAAATTATGAAATATGTTGATAACATGTACTAAATTACACCTGCATTTTCTTCATCAAATGCCCCTTCAAATTTGGAAGACAAATCAACACCTACAAGAACATTCTCCTCAATTTGAATATCATTCAGGTGTCCTGTATCTAAGAGAATCATTAGAAATATAATGTAGATTTGTTGTTAGTAATTTCGGATATATGTAGATATAATATAGATATAATGTAAAGATAATGTAGACCTTTTTTACTACTGCTGGCCAACACTTGTTTAGCACTACTGTCCGGAATGTGTTGATTGTTCTTTTCTTTACAATGTTCATCATTTTCCGTAGAACTGCCAGTAAACTGCAAGCATAATTTATTAGGCTATATACTTTTATGAATGAAAATAGATACTTAGAAACTGTAAAAATTGTTGTCTAAAATGACTATATTTTGAATGAAACCTTAGCATCAATGTTATCCTTTTGAGTGTTTATCGCCTCTAAAACAGCCTTGATTGAATCTTTGAGTAGCAGTCGAATGCTACCTAGTTCTTTAAAAACATCTTTCTTGAAAGTTTCAAGGTTTGAACCCACCTACATATTAAATAGAAAGAGTTAACGAAATAATTTGCATTATAAATTAAAGAAACCATCTAGGATTTATGTATAGATGTTACCTTATCAACATTTTTTTTTAATTTTTTAATTTGTTTCAGAATGTCTTTCTTGTCATCTTTTCCAATTGTCTGCTTATGACCGGATGGAGATGGAGAATTTGTCGGATGCTCGAACTTAGTTTCATCTTCTACAAGGATGTATTCAACTTTATCTGGAAAGTTCATTCTTGAAAGCTCTTCTGGTCTTCAATTATGTTGGTGAACTGAGTGGAGAAAAATGTGAGAGACCTACTCATAATATGTATTGATTCTGTAGATAAATTGTATTAAATTGTGTGCGCAGAAGTGAAAATCATTGACCTTGATCCATGATTGTTTGATCATTCTATCTTCCAATGCAGATAACCATATCTTGTCCTTACTGCTGTCCAGTTCAGTACGCGGGGGATCGAATTAGCAAATCTTGTAGCTATATCCATGTTGACCGTAGAGCAACACTCATACAACCATATTTGCATAGCAAGTGCGAAAGCTCGAATGAGATAAAAATGCAGAAGGGTTGAGCTTGTGCCTAACAGACTCAAGCAAATATGTATAAGATTGGATACCCCATGTAGTTCGCATACTGCCCCGAGTCCACCAAGTAGAACCTAAAATTGTCTATAAAACCTAAATTCTCTTTGTCTGAAGGACATATGAAGAATTCGATGAGATAGAGAATACATAGCTTGACTGCATCCTCATCGTTGACCCAACTACGGCTGGTTACAATTTGTTTCAAGTATGACCTCTCAACTTTTTCCTTGTTTGGGAAATAGCTCTTCATTATGTTACTGTCATACGTAGTTGTGTAACCAAAGTCCGCCACTTATGTAAAACATCTAAGGCCACTAATCGGGGCAAACTCTCTCAATCCAAAATTCAACCTCTCACCCTTTATCTCTACTGTAAAAAAGTCGGAACCAGATGCATTCAATTAGTACTTCATAAAAAGGTGAATTGCTTGATTTTGGATATATATTTTTCGCAAGGGAAGCAAATACCTAAAATATGTCTTCTTGAACAACTTCAACCCTTTTTCAGACAGTAAATCCTTGATTTGGCCAGGAATAGTAGCGTCGCATAATGTCTGGAACCTGGTGATGCATTAATCAAAATCATGCGGTGCAAAAAACTTTTGATTCTGCAGTAAAAGAAACAACAAGTTAATAAACTTGTTTCAAAACCAGATAACAATATAACTACATGTATACTACAAAATATCTACAAGAAGACAACACATGAAGAAAATTCGTTAACCTACAACAAATCTACATAATATAGACAAAATATCTACAAATACAAACACACGAAAATTATGTATGTTCACGAGAAGGAGAACAAGTTTTTTAGCTTTACAAAAAACAAAAACAAAAATTGAAACTACTGAAATTGTACCTTC